GAAATCTCCAAGTCTTTCTCATCCGTTAGCTTGGCAAGAGTTTTCAACATACCCGACAAATCATCGATCGGCTCACCTTCGTTTGTAATGCCACTAGATTCACCGTGATCATGAAATGGACATTTTTCGTCGGAATCATTTTTACACCATTTAAAGAAATTGCAGTCGCGGGTACAACAATAAAACAGTAGCCCTTTATGTTCATTCTTTTTTTCGACCTCCATCCATTTGATGTAGCCCGCACCACAATTTGGGCATATTTTCTTTTTCGGGCACTCCGTCAGCATATGTCCAAGCTGTAATGACAAATTCCCCTATTCTTTCCTGCCATCGAAATAATCTTGTGCAAGCAGCGATATTCAAATTACGTATACATAGTCTTAAACCGCACATGCACAAATATACCATTTGGATACACAAGAAACTCCTGCTTCTATACCCAGAATATCATGATAATCGTACAAACCTTTTTTTTCAGATAGAACGTAAACGAAAATTTTATTTTACAAATAAGTGGATAATTCAAAGATTGAAATCGTATCTTTGCCATCGAAAATATCGAACTGCAATCAAACAACTACTACATTAGAAAGATTCAGAATGAACCATAATGCACACACATAGGCAAAGTTCTTCAAAATACACACAAAGAAACTAAAATACTGCTGGGGCGCTTTCAAACACATTTTTTCAATGTTACATCTGACCATGATAGAATCAAAAAATTGCATCACCAAACAGTCATCCAACGAAAAAAATGTATTTTACTTCAATTTTTCAAATTCTATGCACATCTCGGTCATTATAGGACTCATATAATCCGGTGAACATTATTCAAAAAATTATTCTTATACCAAAATTTCAAAATGCAGCCGAGACATTTTTTTCCCCGTACCTTCAACTGCCCTAAGCATGGTTCGAGGGATGAAAAAAGTCCAAAATGAAGAACATAAAAGAAGAGAAACTTACTAGTGTGAAAACTCGTGGAAAATAAGCGCAACGTGGAACGTCGTTTTGCCTCTTCTCGGCGGGATGATGGAGAATACACCGATGGACGGAATCAACGAAAAGGTAGAGTGGGCAAGAAATGTTGAGATTTCGGGGGAGACCGATTTGGGAATTAGGGTAGAGAGTGAGATGGAGATTCTGGTAAGATTAGAGAGTGAGAGCGAGATCTGGGGAACCAACAATTCTGGGCCGGGTCAAGAACTTTTTTTTTTGGGCCGGATCTTTTTACTGTGCAGTTCCACGTATGAATTTTTGAAAAGCTATAAAGGGGACTGTGCAGTAGGGCTGTAAGAGTAGCAAAACTCCAAGTAATAAATGCCCAAGATTCCTTTGGGTCCCATACTTAGGCACCGTTTGGTAATCATTATTCTAGAAAAAA